GCTACGGCCACGAATGGTCATATTAATAAACCTGCAAAAACAGAAATACCAAGAGAAATAATAAAAATAAATGAAAAAAATGGAGCCACGAACGGAAATCTCACAAACGAAGATAAAGAATGGACACCATCCTCATGGAGAACAAAAACTATAAAGCAAGCCGTTGTTTATGAAGATAAAGAACATCTACAACGAGTCTTGAGTAGATTACAACATTTACCTCCAATGGTTACACCTGCAGAGGTATTTTGATTTTTCTTTGAAAAAATCTCTTTTTAAAAGGATTAATCATAATTTTATCTTTACGTTACAGATTCATAACCTACGAAGTCAACTTAAGCAAGTTGCACTTAATAAAGCGTTTTTATTACAAGGCGGAGATTGTGCAGAACTTTTTGAATATTGTTCTCAAGATTCAATAGAGTCAAAGTTAAAAGTACTATTACAAATGAGTTTGGTATTGGTTTGGGGCGCTAGAATTCCTGTCGTTAGAATTGCTAGAATGGCTGGTCAATATGCTAAACCTCGCTCAAGTCCGACAGAAAAAGTTGAAGGTAAAGAGGTCCCTTCCTTTCGCGGTGATAATGTTAATGGCTACGATCCATCTGATAGAAAACCCGATCCTGAACGTCTTTTGGGGTATGTTTTGAAATCACGCAAAAGTTTATGAAACGTTGAATTTATCGCGATATAATAAAAATTTTCTTTAAATTAGCGCGTATTTTCATTCTGCGGCCACATTAAATTATGTAAGATCAATCATTGGATCAGGATTTGCCGATCTAAATCGACCATCGGAGTGGTCTTTACATCATGTTCGATCAAATGGAACTCGACAAGAATATCAAACGATAGTTGATCGTTTAACCGATTCTTTAAATTTCATGCGAACAATTGGAGCCAATACATCATTTTCACAGATATCAAATTCACTAAATAGTGTAGATTTGTTTATGTCGCACGAAGGATTATTATTGGATTATGAACAATCTTTAACGAGGTTATTACCTGATCCCGAAACTGGTGAAAAGAAATGGTACAATGTTGGAACTCATTTCTTATGGATCGGTGATCGTACACGCCAATTAAATGAAGCTCATGTGGAATATTTTAGAGGAATTCAAAATCCTATTGGAATTAAAGTTGGACCATCCATGAAACCTGATGAATTGCAAAAATTGTTGGATATTGTTAATCCTAATAAAGAAATTGGAAAAGTTACTTTAATTACGCGTTATGGAGCTCATCAAGTTGAAAAATATTTACCGTTTCACATTCAAGCTGTCAAGGAATCAGGACATATCGTCGTTTGGGCGTGTGATCCGATGCATGGAAAGTGAGTACTATTAAACTAAATTTCCAAGTTGGATCGGAAGAAATTATTTCATTAACGCACCTTTGAATTTATTTGTTAGCACAAAACAATCGTTATCTGGTGTAAAAACTAGACATTTTAATTCAATAATTGAGGTAAAATTTCACGCGTCAATTTCGTGTTTAATCTTAATTATTTCTCGTACTATACTAATTTACTCTTTTCTCTTTTTTTTTTTAAAAAAAAAAAGGAACTATCAAAAGCGATACACGTTCATAAAGCCAATAATAGTCAAATGAATGGAGTACACTTTGAACTAACAGGTGAAGGTGTAACAGAATGTATTGGTGGTTCAATGCAATTAGCTGACGCTGATTTATCTTTGAATTATAAAACTTCTTGTGATCCTCGTTTAAATTATGAACAAAGTTTAGACGTTGCTTTCTTAATTGCTAAATATCATGAAAAAGAAAGATTTGGTTATTTACCGAGCTTGTAATATACTTCAAAGGATTCATGAGTTATTTAAAAAAAAAAAAGATGATTTTTGCATTGCATAAAAATAATATTTGGAATGATCAATAAATTTTTCAAATCAAAAAATTTAGCTTTCATTTTTTCTCCAAAAAACTTTCCATTTAATATATAAAAACAAACTAACTTTTATAATACAAAACCACGTTTCGAAATTCCATTTTTGGAATATAAGAAAGATAGCAAATTACATAAACGAAAATTAAAATTTAAGAATTTTAAAGGAAATAACCAAACTGATTTGGTAAATTTCATTACTATTCTCAAGATTATTTATTTCGATTAAATTCAATTTTATTATTTATTTTTATGTTCAAAGTGAAACGATATAATTAACTGGGACCTATCATCAGAAGATACTCCCCAATTTTTTTTCTATTAACCTTTTTAAAAAGTCAATTTGAAAAGATTTTGTTCGAAGCCGAACATTAGTTCTTTAATTTGAAAATGAATAGTTTCCGTTAAAAAAACAAGGCTATTATCAGAAATAATTTTAAGAATCACTTGGTCTATTTGGTCTCTTCATGCTCTTGAGTCCTGTTTTCTGAGTCACTATGACATCATTTTTTTCTTGGACGATACTTATGCAGGGTAAATTATTTTAAATAAATGTGGAACTGATCTACAGAAAGTTTTTTTGATCGTCGCAAAAAACGAACAAGACTTTCAGAATAATGTTGCGAAATCTTGCCAAATTTGCACGCTTAAGAAAGCAATTTTCCTATAACCAACTGTCATCAAGTCATAAAACTTTGCATTTAAAGCACAGACTACTTTTCTTGGGTCAAACTCGACAGGCACACTTATCTACTTTGGGTCGTGCTTCAAACGCGATTTCAAATTCTATTCATAAATATCCAACAAATTTTCGTCATATTTCACGAAAATTCGCGTCAACCGCTAATACTGAGGAAACCACAACAAAATCCAAATTTAAAAAAAAAATCCTTTTGACGGCTTTTCTTATAGGAGCAACTTTTGTTGTCATATATTTCGATTATAAATTTGCACAGGTCGAAGCTATAGAGAATGAAATCAAAGAATTCCCTAGTAATTTTGAAAGAGGCGGCCCGAAAAATTTGTTAATTGCTACTCATTTGACAGATGAAAAAGATTCTGAAGCAAATAAAATGCGATTAGTTATTCTTGGTTCAGGGTGGGGGGTAGGTGTATCCAACGAATAAAAGAAAATCAAATTTATGTCCAAAGATTGATTGCATTTCGATTGCTTCTTAATTTTTAGGCTGTATCAGTCATTAATGAATTGGAGAAAGACCAGTATCATGTTACGGTGATATCACCGCAGTAGGTGTCTTCACTCTTAAATTATTTTCAAAAACTTTTTTTTTTTAAAAATTCGTTTTATTTTTTTTACCATTTCTAAATGATTTTAAAAATTTTTCCTTTTTATTGTAGAAATTATTTTCTTTTCACGTGAGTTTGTCGTTTGTCTAGTTCGCGTAGTTTAATATCATATACTATATACTTGAATTGTTTCATTTTTTATTTAGGCCTCTTCTTCCCTCTGCAACTGTAGGAACACTTGAAACTAGGTATGTTTAGTAAATATAACATGTAGTTTAATCGTATTCGATACCTATATTTACTTATCTTTTTCATTGTATAGATCACTCTTGGAACCTATCCGATGTATTGCTAGAGGCATATCGGCACATTTTCTTGAGGCCAAAGCTTCTGAAATTTGTTTTAACGAAAAATTAATCGAAGTTGTTCCAGCTGATGATTCGAGCGAGCCATTTTACATTCCGTATGATAAGGTAATAATTTAAATCGAATGCTTGTTTATCATCTTTTATCATTCATTTATCTTTTTTTTGCAGCTCGTAATTGCCGTAGGTTCTTTATCGAGTACTTATGGAATTGAGGGTATTAAATATTGTCATTTTTTGAAAACCATAAATGATGCCCGTAGGATCAGGAAAACAATTATGGATAATTTCGAAAAAGCAGCTTTACCAATAACCTCACCCGAAGAAAGGAGACGTCTTTTAAGTTTTGTTGTTTGCGGAGGCGGTAAGTTTGGTACCCATTGAAGTTTTTGGAATGAAATGATTGTTTCTTAACCTTTTTTTTTTCTTTTAAAAAATTTATTAATTCAAGGACCTACCGGTAACATATTTTGAGCTGTTTTTGATAACTATATGACACATATTTTTTAAATATTTTATTTGTTTTTTTATAGGTGTTGAATTCGCAGCAGAATTATATGATTTTCTAACCGAAGATATGGTTAAATACGTGAGTTGTTTTACATCATGTAATGATTTTAAATATGCGTAAAAATGAAAAGGAAAAAATGTTTCGTAGAGGAAGATACCCATTTTTCATTTTCTAGCAGTTTCCATCAGTCCTTAGGAATGAAGTGAAAGTTAGCATTATTCAAAGTTCAGACCATATTTTAAATACGTATGACGCGAAAATTAGTGAATTTGCTGAGGTACATATATTTTATTAAAATTTATTTTTAACAATGAAAATCATTTAATAATAATTAAAGTTTATTATCCTAAAAGAAAAAATTTAGTCGTGATAATATTAATATTATAACGAATGCAAGAGTTCAAAAAGTAGAACCCAACCGTATTGTCTATAAATTGAAGAGTAACGGAGAAGTAAAAGAACTCGATTATGGATTGGTATTATGGTCTACTGGAATTGGTGAATATATACAATTATTTGGATAAAAATTTTTTCCGTTTAAAATTTTGATAAAAAATTTGATAATTATTATTATTTTGTATAGCCATGAACCCATTAACAAAGTCAATATCAGAAAAGTTAGAAGCTCAGAAAAATATACGTGCTCTTATCACGGATAATAGACTTCGTCTTAAGGGAATACCTGATTCCTCAGTGTATGCCATAGGAGATTGTTCTACTGTCGAAAATCCAAAATTGGTTCAACAGTTGATGCAGTTTTTTGTTGATGGGGATGCGGATAAAAATGGAAATTTGAGTTACAAAGAATTTCAAACTTTAGCAAAAAAAATCGGTAGACGATATCCTATTACAAAAAGTTATTTGAAAAAGGCCGACACGCTTTTTGCACGCTATGATCAAGATAAGAGCGGTATGCCTAAAGTATACTTGAAATTCTTTGAAAAAAATATTATTACTAAAGATTACTTTTGTTCTTTATCATTAGGCACACTTGAATTGGAAGAATTACGTGCCATGTTTGAAGATATTGACAAAAAAATGACATCCTTACCAGCGGTATGATATTTCTAATTCTCTGTGTATAAGTTTATAAGCTGTTACTAATGCGTCTAATTTTTATTTGAAAAGACTGCGCAAGTAGCTCATCAGCAAGGTAAATATTTAGGTAAAAAGCTAAATCAAATAGCTTTAGCACACAAAACAAACTTGTACCCATCCCCATCGGATTATTCAGTTGACATTGAAAATCCTGATATCGATGATCGATTACCACCATTTTCGTATGCACATCTGGGTTCACTTGCTTATATTGGTAATGCTGCCGTAGCTGATTTTGGTATGGGATGGACTTGGATGGGAGGTTTATCTGCTGTTTATTTATGGAGAAGTGTGTATTTTAGTGAACAAGTTTCGCTTAGAACAAGATCTTTACTGGCATTAGATTGGACAAAGGTAATTAATGTGAAAACTTGGTTTACCTTTTTCGCTAACTATATATTAACATTTTTATATTTATGTATATTTCTTTATGTATGTAAACAGCGATATATGTTCGGTAGAGATATTTCAAAGTTTTAAGAGAATGATACACTATCATGAACAACACTTACGCGTCAATGTTGTCAATTTGTCGAGGGATGCTGATCTTTTCCTCAAATTTTTTAAAATTTATTTATGTATAATGTCAATTTACGTAATAGAATTTATTATTTTCCCTTTCCCCTCACGAAAATTAAACATTTACGATTAAATTAACGATAAATTTTTTTTTACAAAGAGAAATAAACATAAAAATCATCACCATAAACAATAATATAACGGTTGAAGATAGATTATTAAAGATTTCTAAAGTAATTAATTGCCATTTTTCCAGTTCTAAGATTACATGTTTGTATATAATTATATTAAAATTTTAATTATAATATCGAGGTTCATCAAATACGTGATATCGATGACCACGAACCCCTTCTCCTTTAAATTGTTCAGGAAATCTCAATCCCTTGTCAACTTTACTTTCTTCAACCCGTTTATCACTTGCTTGCCAAGTTTCGGGATTATTATCTTCAACAATTTGAAATTTGCCCAATTGAATTTCCGTATCAGTTATGCGTCCATGACTCACTCTGGCATATCCTATTCGTTTGACTCCTCTATATGCTATATATTCACACCATCGATCATAATCTGTCTCATCTATATCATAAATATTACCATCGTTTATAAGCATAGAGTAAATTTCATCTGCAGTGGTAGTTACAACGTATCCTAAAAATACAAAAGGATTTTTACTCTCTCTCATAATACGCGCCAATTCTTCCGTTTGTAATTTACGATCAATTTCATCTTCTTCTTGACCATTATGACTAACAATCACATCAACCTCCTGACCATAAACATCCAGAGTTGCATGAATCGCGCAAGCAAGTTCTCCTACAGGTGATGGAAGAAGATAATGTTTTGATGTAAGGATAGGAAATTTCGAAAGTATAGCACAACCCCATGTATGTTTTGAAGGACCTGGCCCATAATCTGAATACATGTTTAGGTCCTCAGCAAGGAATTGAGTAAAGTCACGATTGCCCATTATTATACGCGAAGTATCTGATTCCAATAAACCTTCATTATTATTTTTTTTTTTAAAAAAAAAAAAAATAAATAAATAAATAAATAAATAAATATATATATATATATATATAAACTAACCTATAACATCAAGTTCTAATTCTTTAATAACGTCTCTCATTCTAACTTCACTAGCCCACATATCATTATCAAGTGCAAAATGAATCGTCCAAATTCCAGCTGTAAAAATTTTATGTTCTGGATGATAAGGTGTCGGTGTTTCAAAAGGAAGACGAGAAAAGGAAACCAAAAATCCTAATAAAGTCATTATCGCCAACCCCCCTCTCGTTAACGATCGATTTGAATGTAACGCATTTAATTGCAAATGTTTAAATTTATAATTGGTAGAAGGATTTCTGATACCAAGTCCAATCAAAACCATCATAGCAAATAACACATAATCGGTGTGTTCTCTCATGTATTCACCAGCAGGGACAAAAGCGTAGGCTACAACCCATACATGTGCCAAACAAAAGATATTATATATCATCATCGCTGTAAGAAAAGTTCTTCCGGGAGGATGTTGAACAACGATTCCAATAAATGTAGGCACCAATGACATCAAGTAGACAGTAAGTACAAGTCCACCATAATATCCATTCCATCCGGGATAATAATACATACATGCACAAGAAACACATCCAATGACATACCAATGTTGACTAATAACTATCTTCTTGTAGGGTGAAAGAAATAATCCAAGGGACATTGCAACAATTGTGACAGCACCCCAAGGAATAGGAAGTGGGCCAGTATTTGGATATCCATCATGAACCCAACGTATAATTGTAGAGCTGTCAGTGAGTAAAGAATGAAGTGCAAAAAGAAGTGATCCAAATCCAGAAGCTGCCATAAACCAAGATCCGGAAACTGTCGTTAATTGTTCATGATAATTAATTTGCATTTTATCTCCATTTTTACGTAACATAACATCTAATGAGGCAAGGACTCCAAAGAAAAGTCCAATGTGATTCCATCCACCATTTTCCTTATGCATTATTGGCCATATTGGATTATTAGTCCACCAAGCCATTTTTACGACATTACTTAAAATCAAACCCAAACCCCACGTGAGAGCATATCGCTCTAATTGGCCAACACTATTATTATTTTCAATCCATATGGAAGTCCAAGTTAAAGTTGCAATAGCAACACCTATCGACACAACTGTAAGGCGTTGAACTGGATCAATTAATAAATATGCTGCTATACCAACAAGCGATAAAAGGTGGAATACGCCATGATTTAAATTGACTAATTTACGGATAAAAGCAATCCCAAGCAATGTTGGCGCTGTGGTAACAAGCAAGAAAGCTTCAAACCCTGATATTCCCATATACCAAAGAGGGAAATACCAAATCGTCAATGCAAGTGATGTCAGCATTGACCAATATATAAAAGCTTTTTTTTTTTAGGAAAAAAAAAAAAACTCTCGTCAAATTTTGACTAAGGTTAGATATATCAATCAATCATGAACATATTTATTTAAAATATACCAAGGTACGTATCAACCACAAATCCTCTTAGATTACTCCAAAAACTAATCTCAAACATAGGTTCAATTTTTCTGGAAAATTCCCTATGATGAAAATAATATTTATTAAATCCACAAATCTATTTATCCGGTAAAAGTATTAATGCTTACTTGAACTTTTTGGATTTTTCTGCGGTAACATTTATAATCCTGTATCGAAGTATTTAAAGATCAATGAGATGCGATAAAACAAATAATGTATAATAAATAATATTCGTACCCTTTCTTTGAATTGATATTAACAATTCTTAATTCGATGGAACTAAAGTCAAATAAGCTTAAGGCATCAAAAGCAATATCGTATAAAATCAAAGACCATTCGAAAAACGCGTATATAGTGTAAGCTAACGACAATAATAAATTAAAAGAATAATTATATAAAAATTATCAATTCGCTAAAAAAAAAAAAAAAAGGATCTTATTTACCACCAGCGACACGATGAACTTTATGTTGAATGAAAAAATAAAACATCGGAACCAGAGTTCCAAAAAATGCCATGACGGTTAACTTTCTCCATTTTAAGGCTTGCTTATTATCGGGACTTATAGCCAAAGTACCCAACATCCAAGGTAAGGTTGTCACCAAATAAATGATCATCGCAATGTCATGAACATAATGATCATCCGATGAAGTTATATAAACCCATCCACCACAGGAAAAAGCGCGTATTACACCAATAATAGCATGAATTTTAGGATAAATTTGATTTGGATTGTCAGTAATAAGGTAAAATAAGTATATTAACAGAAAACGCGGTCCTAAAGAGATATAAGGTTGTTAGAAATTCTTGATAATTCAAATGTAACGAATAATCTTTTACCCGCTGCAACCGCTATAAAGATTTGAAAAATTGAACGAGCTGGGTACCAATCTCCAGTAGCTGCACTAACACTTGGGAACCATTCCTATGCAATATAAAAACATCAAGTAAATTAATGACATCAGAAGGATCCAACGAAATTAATGTACCTCTGGATACCCCCAGTGTTCATTTTTTACAATTTGATAATAATGCGTCCAGCATCCAATAACCAATGCCGAGAAAAATGCAACTATCGTTAAAAGAAATTCGTCAATTAGTTGATAAATATAAAATCGGATAATTTGATACATACCATAAGCAAAAAGTGTGTGAGAATAAGATATCCACTGTGCGTTTAACTAATGTTTACAAAGAAAATGTAGGAATAACGCGTGCATAATTAATGATTTTTTTTTATTTCTTAGGCAATAATGAGGTGATGAATTTACTTACCTTTGCAACAACAATGTCGTCGGGCGAATCGTATTTTGACGACATTTTCCCGGAAAAAAAATATATGCTGATATAAAAAGCTAAATCAGGTCAATATAAATAATAAATTGTTGAGAACGTGCCGTGTTACAACTTGTCCAAATTTGGAAGACATTTTTCCTGAGCCGCCCTCAAATATGACGATTTGATTATTTGTTTCTTTAAGTTTTTTAGAAACTAACAATTTAGTGCTTAACCTTAATTGGTAATTGGTTTTGATCGGTCAATATAAATAATTTTTTACCCATCCAATAAATTATTCCAGGTGACATCATTGACAATTTGAGCCAAGACCAAAATGTATATTCTCCGTATGTCGATAACAAGTATGGTATGGTGACCAATCCTATTTGATATTTATTATACAACACTCACTTGTTTTCGCAATACCGTTTTCTCACCAACATAAAACCACATGTTAGTGCAATAGAAGCAACTAGAATAGTCGTAATTTACAATAACATTATCTTATGGTTAGCATATTTATATATACCGCCGCAGTTATTCTTATCTCATTGAAAGACATTACAAATCATGTTTATTTCTCTTCGAAATTCTCTCTTACATTCTCCTACTCATTTTTCAATTTGGGATGTAATTCAATTCATCATTCAATATTTCAATTAAACATCTCGAAGGATGATAGATTTATCTTACTAAGGGTTCATTTTATTACTTTGCATTCAATCAAAACAGTTCAATTTTGAGTCAAAATGGTAAAAAAAAATATATGTATATTGAATATCCCAATATAATTTTAATTTAATGAATATATGTATATTTAAAAGTCGGCTATATTTATAAGCTGTATTCAATAGAATTTGATATGTGTTAAAATATATATATATATCAACGTCTACTAGCTCGATGCTTTTGACGTTTTTTAGGAGGAGAAATATATTCCTCAGGTAATGTATAACCTACACTTCCACTAGAATTAGGATCGTCAGGCTCTGTAGTGAAAGTTTTCAATAATTTTCGAAAACAATCTTGAACTGGTTTCATCTACATAATATAAAAAAAAAATTAAATAATCTTATTATTCTCCGTTTATTTGTGACAGAGTAGACTTACTTTTGAGCAATCCCTAGTAAAAATTCGAATAATAGTTTCTTCGTATTGCTCCGGAATGAGATAACTCACTTGTGACTTTTCCAAATTGAAAGCTATAAAAATTATTTTAACAAATTAAACATTAATAAATGACGAAATGGTACACGTTAATGTAAGTGAAAAAAAAAAATAATGACCTTTATCGATGTCATATTGATTGTAAAATTTAACATAATCAACTGGATTCTCATTTTTCTTAGCATAACTCAATTTGATTCGGTTTACGATTACATCATCTTCTCCAAGTCTATCATTGTCTGATTGATGCGCAATGATTTCTCGAGAGTTTATTTTTTTCTTTGCATAAATATAAATACTAGTTATCATTTAGGTTCTCAAATTTCTAATGACGTGTATAATGTCTTTACCTCGGTCAGGTGATCTTTCAACTCTAACGGGATAATAAATTCGTCAACGAATTTATAAAGATCTCTAGTTCGAATCCTTTTGATTAAATCTCGAGACTTTTTCAACATCTAAAATGATCAAATTAATAACTTTTCGTTATATTTTTAACTTACAAATTATTCTAATGACTTACTGGATCTTTCGAAAATTCTATTTCATTTAAAATAGTATCATTCAATTGCAGATATTTTTCTGGATCGTCGATAGCTTTTGATATTCCGAGAATTGGATCTGCTTCAGCCATAGCATCACATAACATATATTCTATGGCTTTGCCTAACGGTTTATATAATTATACATAAATGTTACAACATCTAAATTAAAAAACAAAGCTGGGATAAAAAATTATTTACCAACGCGATGATAATAAACCTTTTTGTATAAAGAATACCGCGTATGGAACAATTCGTAAATACTATAACTCTCCTTAAAATAATACGTGATTTGATTATCGATTACACGTGAATATCTCATGAGTCTTGAGAAATCGAATACAGATTTCATCCCGAGATAGTAACAATCTCGATTCAGATAATCAAATTTATCGACATCGATCGAGTTCGTTTTATTAGCTACTATATCGAATAGATACCGAGATCGACCTGAACTATTCATATATATTTTAATAAATTGATTGGTGATAATAAGATAACATTAAAAATAATTATAAATTTACCAAATATCTCCAGTAATTAAAGATTTAATAAATTTGACATCATCTGTACTAAAATCGATGGTATCGTGATGATTTTCCCAAAGATGATCAAACATCATTAGGGAGGCATCTTCATGTCTCCACTTTATATCTGGTCTTTATGCAAAAAGGGAGCTCACGCATCAATATTTAGATTAAGAGAGTATGATTTGCATTACTAAATAAGTCTTTTAACAACCTCGTTTGTGGAATGAATGTATTATCAAACGTGTGACTAAATGGCCCATGTCCTAAAAATTGCAACAATGATGTTAAATTCAAAACGAGAGAAGAACCTTTCAATAAGATTATATTAAACTTACCTAGATCATGACACAAGGCAGCTACTGTCACACATTCTAAATCTTTCTCGACTTTGTAATTAGGTTGCGTATCTTGGATCCTTTTCACCAGGGAGTTGGCAAGGTAAGCGGTACCTATTATTAAATAAATGATTCAGGCAAAATTATTTGAAATCACTATAATTTCTGCGGAAAGTATCGCCTAAATTTTATTACCTAAACAATGTTCGAACCTATTGTGGCAGGCACCAGGAAACACGTAATAAGTAGTTCCTAATTGTTTGATATTACGTAACCGTTGAAAATGCGGAGTGTCGATAATACCGAACATCCAATCATCGAACTCCATTAATCCCTATTTATTAAAGGTCAACATTTTATAAAAAGAATGGTTCGTTTTGAAAAGAATATTTTAATATTTTCAAAAATTGAATTTTTTATACATTACATGAATGGGGTCATTAATCCTCTTTGGTAACATTGATTCTGCGTTAAAAATTGAAATATCGTTTGCGTTATCATGACTTGTGAAAGACATGATTTTTATACCTTTATATAGGAGAAGAGAATTGAGCGAAAAATCTATTGGCTATTTGTGATATCTGTATTAAAAACAATGAAATACCAAAGATATCTCTGAGAAACAATAATAAAATCAACTGATCACGAAAAGATACTTATTATCTTATGCAATTAAAACAAAATTAGCTGAAGCAATCCCTGTTTTTGCTTCTTGTTTTACTTTAAAAAGAATTTATTTCCCACGAAATTTTCTGTCAAACATTGATTGATAAGGGGCCAACATCTAAAGTATTTTTAAGGGATAATCTTTTGATCACTCCGGTCATGTGGAATCCCGTCATACGTTCAGTAATCCGAATCAAGCCTTTCTTTCCTCTTTTTAAAAAAAAATGTGTTCTTTTTAGGAAACAAAAAAAATTGATTATCGAACATTACATTGTGCAGAAGTAATATGGGTCTTCACTTAATCTCACGATAATTATTATTTTAAGTGTACATATGATTTGAAAGAATTATTTTATGGAATTAATGGTTTTTTTATGGTTAATTAAAAAAAGAAATGCTGATTTTCAACACTTTTTTTTTATATGATCAAAATCAGGAAATTTTTTATCTCCTTTTTTTTTCGGAATAGAATCAGTTTAAAGAAGAAATCTTTTTTTATTATTTATGTAAAGATAGAAGAAATGTAAGGAAATAATAACAATAGATTTCTTAGTAATAAAATATTTGCAGTTTTCTAAAAGTAAAAGTAAAATTTTCAATCATTATAAAACAACTTAACATTTAACTTGGATAAAATGTATTATTGAATAAAATGATAAAAATGATAAAGCAACTGACACAATATTAAATCAATAAACTTTGAAATTAAACTATTATATATAATATGAATCATTATACATAAGTGATTACAAATAAAATTATAAGGGATTAAATAAACGTATTTTATTTAAAATAAAAGAAATATATTTTATTAAAGAATTATAATCTTATATTTATTTGTATAATCATTATTGCAAATTACTTTATATTATATTCTGAGAACTTATCTACTTTGCTAAAATCTTAATTATATTTTAAATTAATTTAAAAAATATAAGTACATAAAATAATCATTACTTAAAAATAATCTTTAATTACTCAATAAGTGTATATATAATATTACTATGTAAATAAATAAGTAATAAAAAACAAAAAATATTAATATATTTTAAAAATTATAAGTATAATACATAATTTAATAATTATATAATATAAAATATATATTACTTTTACAAGTTACCATTACTTTTTTTTTTTCATAATAAAAGGTATAAAGTTAAACATTAATCAATTGTATATCACCCTATTAGTTACTTTTTTAATTAGTAATCAATATATAAAAATTAGTAGATATGTCAATCAGATACTTAATGTTCAATTAATTATCAATCTGTTTATTACCTGAATATTTAATATTCTTTAATTAGAATTTACCAATTAGTATTTATTATTTTATTTAAAAATAAATTTACTAATAGTTTTAAATTTATAAAATTAATAAAATGCAAATGATAAATTTATTAATTATTAATTAAATTATCATTATAATTAAAATTATTTATTTATAGATATAATTACTATATATTTTTTTTAGTTATTATATATTTATTATAATTTATTTAGCATAAATTGACTATAATATTATAAATCAAATAATATTATCTTTACCAATCTTATAGAATTCATTTTTTAAAGTTTAATATTATATTGTTATCTAAATAAAAATTAAGCATAGCAAATTACGTAATCGGAGATATGATATAAAAACCATAACTAAATATTCATCAGTCAAATGGTTTTCTGTATAGCATGAAAATGTGCAACTTCAGTTATAATTAAAAATGCTGATTGCTAATTTTTTTTGGTAATGATTAGCAAAAATTAAACTATATAGAATAAATATTATGAAAAAAACCAAATTATAAAAAACATTTTTAAAAATAATTAAGTTCTGAATCAAATATTAAAGTTACATTTATTTTATTTAGAAATAAATTTTAAAAAAAAATTCAATTTGATCTCTTTACGTAGTACTTATCTTATATTTCAGCTAATATTCAATACTTTAAAAAAGTGGCAAAATGGATTATTTCAAATGATATGAAAATCATTCTAAAAATAAATTAAAAATAGATGAAGAAAAATTTGATGAAAATGATAATGATTTACTAATATTAAATGAAACGCAATAGTCAAAAGTAATAAAAGAATAGGTAGATTTATTAAATAATAAGGAATTAGAAGAAACAATAAACTTTAGAAGAATTGAAGATGAAAATTCAAATAATGATAATAATAACAAATTTTATCAGAAATGTAATAACAAATTAGAAATTAAAAGATTTGTTTATTTCTAATTTGGAATTTCCCTTTTAATAAATAGTATTATATAATTCATATTATTTCATTTGAATATAATAAGTAATTTCTAATAAAATTAAAGATATAATTAATAATTTTTTTCATAAATTATAAATTAATAAATATTAATAAATAACAATAGACATAACTTCTATTTCCATTGCTTAGCCAATAAATAATGAATAGCATTTTTTGTCTAATATTGTCTAATGTTTATTGTCTAAAGATGACAATACTAATATAAAGGTATAATAATTTCATTATACTACCCTTTTAAATGTTTTATAATTTTCTCATTCATATCTTTTTGAACCTAAATTTATATTAGTATTGAAGTAAAAGAATATATAATGACTTTTATGCCAAAATATTGTGTTCAAGAATAAGAGTATATAGAAATTTATTTTAAAGATTTCAATATTTAGAAAAGTGTTAGAGATAATACATACAGTGGTGTGCAAAAAAAATGAATTTTTTTTTGAAAAAAAATCAACAAGCGTAACTTGCCCAATTTTGATTAGATTTACACAAATAAATATGCAAATAAAAGCCTGATGATCACTCTATTATCTTTTAGTGAAACCTTTCCCATACATTAATAAAAATTATTTTTTATTGAATATTAAAATGACTTTATCAACCTAAGAAATACAATGACAAACCATTTTACATTATTGGAAGCAAGGAATACGAAATGCTATTGAAATACAAAGTTTAACAAAGATTCCAATCAGTACTATTCGTCGAAACCTTAAAAAAATGGAAAATATTGAAGATATCAAACGTAAAAGTGGTAGCGGACGTACGTATTAAAAAAATAACCTTACATGCATTCTGGGCAATTGGACAGTTTATTCGAAGGGAACCTTCAATTTCTGCTGGATCTGTTACTGCTAAATTAGAAGATATAGGAGTAGAAGTCTCTCGCTCAACAGTTTCAAGACATTTGGCTGACCTGGGATATCGAAATGCACTTCCTCTTCGCACACCAATGTTAACTACACTCCATAAACAAAAATGAGTTGAATGGCTCAAAAACACAAGGATGATGATTGGAAAATAACCCTATTTAGTGATGAAACAGCTTTCCAATTATTCCGTAATACGATAAAGCATTAGTATAAAAATGCAAGGCCAGTTCGTCGAATGCCAAAGGATCGTAGTAAAATCTTTGCTTGGAGTGGTTTTTGTGTAAAGGGTACTATCAGTCTTTTTTGTTTTATGCGTATAATGAATGGAGAATTCTACACAGAGATATTAAAAAAACATATCTCGGAAGTGCACAGTATGTTACAGGATAATTGGCGGTTACAGCAGGATAATGATCCTAAGCATACTAGTAACATTGCTAAGGATTTTCTTGCTAAAGAAGTCCCAG